AGTGTCTGCCTTTGGCTCGGGTCGTGATCCTGGGGTCCTGGCATCAAGCCCCATATCCAGCTCCCTGCTCTGTGGGGGGCCTGCTTCTCCCTCCCCGTCTCTCATGAATAAATAAAATTTTTAAAGTTTAAAAAAAGAAATTCCTTCCTTTTTAAGAAATAATTCTTATTTTGAATATTATTATTTTTTCAGATTTTATTTGTTTCACAGAGACAGACACAGCAAGAGAGGGAACACAAGCAGGGAGAGTGGGAGAGGGAGAAGCAAGCTTCCCACCGAGCAGGGAACCCGATGCGGTGCTCGATCCCAGGACCCTGGGTTATTATCATTCAGGATAATATTGCATTGTATGGATATATCACATTTTGCTTATCCATTCATCCACTGATGGGACATTTGGGTTGCTTCTATATTTTGGTTATTATGAATAATGATGCTATGAACATGGTGTACAAATAAAAGACCCTGCTTTCAATTCTTTTGAACATATACCCCTAAGAAGGATTGCTGGATCACATGGTAATTCTATTTTTAATTTTTTGAGGAACCACCTTACTGTTTACCATAGCAGATGCACCTTTTTACATCCCCATCAATAATGCATGAGGTCGGGGCACCTGGGTGGCTCAGATGGTTAAGCCTGCCTTCGGCTCGGGTCATGATCCCAGGGTCCTGGGATCGAGCCCCACGTCTGGCTTCTGGCTCAGTGGGGAGCCTGCTTTTCTCTCTCCCTCTCCCCCTGCTTGTGCTCTCTCTCTCTGTGTCTCAAATGAATAAATAAAATCTTTAAAAAAAAAAATGCATGAGGTCTCCAACTTCTCTACATCCTTGCCAACACTTTTGTTTTTGTAACAACCATCCTGATGAGTTTGAGTTTGCTTTGAATTTTTGAACTGTAGAAATAGATGTGTATAAAGTAAGTGGATGTGGTTTGCTAACATATTTAGAATAGTATTTGCTACGGAGTAAATTCTATGTAAAATTTGTTAAATGCACAATCAGCAACGTTTGTAAGCTGTAACGTTTTAATTATGTTAGTTGTATGTTCATAGGGTAATGTCTTTTTAACTAAGTTTTAAATAAAATGGGGCTTAAGTACCAAGAAGAGGCAATTCAAACTTTCAGGGAAGGCTTCCTTATCCTTTGAGTTTGACAGATGAATAAAAGTTTAGGCACAAAATGGCATTCCATACAAAAGAGAGAACAGCATGTTCAAAGTCATGGGAATGTAAAAAGAAAAATTTTAAAAGTCAGTCTCATTGCAGGTGGCAAGTGAGATCAATCCAGTGCTGACTATTGCAAGTGAAGGTGGGATTTTGTTGAAATGTTAATTTTCTTTATATTAACTTAAAATTTGGTTTCATTTCCAGCACCAGCTGTTCTGCGTGCTTACGATTCACACTGTTTCATGGCAGATTTTCTTAAAGACCTAATTTGAGGGCACGCGGGTGGCTCAGTCGTTAACCGTCTGCCTTCAGCTCAGGTCATGATCCCAGAGTCCTGGGATCGAGCCCCACATCAGGCTCCCTGCTCCGCAGCAAGCCTGCTTCTCCCTCTCCCACTCCCCCTGCTTGTGTTACCTCTCTCGCTGTGTCTCTCTCTGTCAAATAAATAAATAAAATCTTAAAAAACACACAAAAAAACCCAGGTTGCAATAATAATCCCAAGTCCCGACCAAACGTGATCACAACTGAATTGGAAACAGATACACTATGAATGCAGGAACACTATATTTATTAGGTCAATAATTCATTTTTAGCAATACAAGTACAGAATATATCACAATGCTGGTTACAAACATACTTAGTATGGTTCAATGGTTACAAATAATGGTGGGCACTACAAGTTTGTGTTAAGGATGATATGAAAGGTCATTCTGACACAATGAAGAATTGTCTTAAAAAAATCTCAATGACCCTAGATATTTCTATAGAAATTACTGTGGCACTATTAGTGGGGATTTTCATGTAAAGAATCGTTAGTAATTTGTTTCATTAAGAGCTCTTGAGCCTATTAAACTAAAATCCCCTGTTGCTTAATAAAGTATAAAAATAGTACTGACTTGGTAATATTTAATAAAAGGTAGCATTCATTCACATCATAAAAGTAGAACTAAACTGAAAAGTTTTAGTTACCATGGCAACATCTTTCCATAAAAGGAATATACAGAAATGAGTAATGTTACACAAACAGTACCTGCAACAATTATCTAGTGATCCAACACTTAACTTGTGCACCACAAACCAGGTTTTCTAGATATCTATATATAGCATATATTTTTAATCTTAAATTTTACTTTTGAAAAAAAATGTGCACTTCAACAAACTCACTAAGGCCACTCATGCTATAGATACCTAGGACTGCAATTAAAGAATAGTATTATTTAAGAAATCCTAAAGCACACTCCTTCAGATCACCGACAGGGTAAAACCAGTTTTCTGCCTAACACATTCCTGAGATTTGTGGGCAATACAACTACTAGTGTTCAAGCTGGAGATTAATCCAAATGTCAGATTAAAAAAAAATTTTTTTTCCTAGCAAGAACTGAGGTCCTCCAAAGCCAAGAGGTGAAATATATACATTAATTTTTAAAGCAAAAATAAAACTCTTAAAAAAGTTCGTACTTATATAAATAAGTATTTTTCCAGTAGTAACTTTGTCGTCCAGAAAAGGAACAGTTTGCAAGCAGCAAGGCTACAAATTCTGGGGAAAAAATAAAGACCAAGTGGCAGTTAAGAGTACCTGCTAACTAAGCAAACCATTGTTTCAATTTGTAAAGTACGGCCAAAAGCTTCCGCTGTGTTTTAGGTGCTGACTGTTGAGCACTGTGTGTGCATGTAAGGAGTTGCCAAATGGCACTCTACATTTATTTATAAGGTAGCAGCCTCTGTACTTAATTTTCACAACATTATGAACTCTTCCCAAACAGGCTAGGAACAAAGGCCTTTGTCAAATATTTAATTTCACAAATTAATTAACCACGTACCTGCACACAGATTACTACAGAGCAACAGTGAGTTTGTTTTTAACCAAGGAGAGACAGAGCATCAATGACAAGAAGGGTCCTAAAGTTTTGGGGACCCATAAAAACTGTGGTCTAAAAAACCCAATTGGTTCTATTACACCGGATGCAGGAGTGACTGACCATCTGTGTGGCACAGGAGAGCCCCCGATGCACCCAATCTGAGTAGCACCAACGTTGGGAAAAAGACTGGGTAATAGAGAAGAAATGAAAGTCAGGGAAGGATGAGACCAAAGGCCCCTTATTTAACATTATTTTGCTGAACTTCCAGAAAAATCTTTAAGTTGGTCTAGGCTTCCTTACACACAACCCCCACCATATGTGAAAAGTCTGTGCAAGCTATTGGTTATTGTGAGGTAAATTTTATTCTTTTGAGATTCTTTTTAACCCCATAAAGTACTAACATTCACCTCTCTAAGCTACCCTAAACATCCCTAGGAATAAAGGATAAATCCCACACTTAGAATCATTAGGGTATTATTCTTCATTACAACCAGAATTAATAGCACACTCTTTGTTATATCATTAACAAGCTGTCAATCTCTTTTCTCAGCCTACAGTTTTTGCATTAAATCAAAGTATACGGACTTATAGAAAACTACATTAAAGCAGTGGTAATAAAGGGAAACTACCAATGCTTTTTAGAAAAACTGGCTGCCACGTAACATTATCACCCTGTGATCTTAGGCTCCTAAATATCGTGTTGTTTTATCACTGAGTGTGAGCTAAGTTGAGCTCAAATTGAATTAAGAGAGGATGAGGCCTTAAGTCATTTGCTTGATTGTATCCTAGGAAATGCTGTATGTGCACAAAACCAAAAGATACAGATTGATTTAAAAAAAAAAAACTTCATATGGAAACGTTAAGTTTCAAAATATTTATTGAAAAACAATTTACCATGACATTCCTATACCACAAACATACCACATGACTCTAAATAACCAACAAAAGTATACAAAGCCTATCCTGGAAATATCTTTGGAGGTATTAAATATATAGGCCTGTAAGGATAGAGCTGAGTAACTTAATAAATGTTAGTCCTTGGTCACACAGACTATTTGGTAATTAATAAAGAGGTGTCTCTTGGCATTAGACTGCAATTAACTGGGAGGGGAGGTGCAGGTGTGCCAATGTACTCTTTTTAAAATGAAAAAGGAAATAATTCAATTTGAGGAATAAACCCAGGTTTTGAAATCATGGTTACAATATTAGGGTCTGGGCTTGCTTCATCTCTTTCTGTACCTCCCCCAGTCAATCCCCTCCTGGGGACTTAAAAACACTGGCTCATAACTAACAAGACTGCAAGTAACAGTTTTAAACAAGATTAGGTTTGGGAAGTTCAAAAAAGTGTTGAAAATCAAATTTACTTGAAATCTCCAATTAATTTTTCTGTACTCAATGTGGCAGTTTAGATTTCTTCCCCCCTCCAACCCCAGCGTGCATGTTAAAAGAAAACCAAAATTCAACACACATCCACTCACCCACAGACTACTCCAAGCATTAGCTAAGAGCAACATCTCTGACAGCCAAGTCATGAACCCCTGAAAATAGGGGGGAAAACCCTGATTCTTAACTATAGAGGCACCACATAGGCCACTATAGTAAGAACTGAGGTAACAGCAAAAGACCTTTTTGTTTCTTAATTGCTACATGTCACTTTCCAAATCTGAGTTATTAATTACCTCAATATTAAATAACCTGACTGGCTTAAGATTACAAAAATCAAAACCCAATAAACAGGAAGACAAGTTAGTGAAACAGATATATAACTAGGGGATCTCTGCATTTGACTCTTAAATTTCAAATAAAATAACACAGCTGTACTATTATTTACCATAAAAATGAAGGATCTCTAAGAATTGCTTCTTTTGGGCATTCATTTTTCCATTAATCCCCACAAACCATATAGTAACCTAAAATTCCCACCCATGAGCTATTTCACGACTCTCAGCCAATATACTTGTTAATTGCATTGATTATTAGGGTAACATTTAAAATAAGGGGGATGGTTGCAGCAGATATTTATAGACTTGCTTATGGCATTGCCATCTGTGCACACTGACTAAAGATACACCATCGAAACTGCCAAATCTCCCTAGTTTGGTGTCTAATTACATGAATATAATTTTTGCATTATCACTTTTCATTATACCTCTAAATGAAACATTCTACTGATAAAAGTATATGCAGGGGCTAAAATAATTACCTAAAGCCTCTGGTCCAAATAACCCCTTTCTACATTAGGCTGGTCCTTTTTAAGTCCTCCTGGTCCTGTTCGCAAACGCTTTCAGAGCATCTTGCATTGTTATACCAAAAAACCCTGAAACAACCAAAGGGTTAATAAAACTGCTGGTCTGTCAGCTTTTCTATTACTTACAGATCAACACTGGTCCAGTTCAGATGAATCTGACAATCCTTCCCTGTAATAGAGCTCTGGAGTGGTTGTATCCACTTCTCTGGGTAAGGTAGCCAAACCTAAGTCAGGATGTCCCTCTTCTACTAGTACTGTGTTAACTTTTCTATACTGCATATAAAGATTTTCCCCATAAAATTTCTTTACAATACAGTATTGAATACCTCCACAAGGAAGAATATGTTAAAAAGTTGTTAAAATCATCCTTACGTAATAAGAATGCAACTCTTTTAAACTCTTAAATAGTTTTATTTAGGGGTTCTTTTCAGGCTTTCTGCAAAAGGAATTATTTTTTAAAATGGAAAAGAAAAAAAGATTTCCTGTTGTTTGTTCTACTAGGTTGAAAATATGGGCCAGACTACTTATACATGCGGTACATGCTGAATATAACTGAATATATGCTTATTCCTACGGACACTCTGCAAGGTAGGGATCACCCAAATAGGGTCAATGGACTGGACCAGTGTTTCAATGCAAATTCCAGCCCCAAAAAACAACATGGTTTTGATTTCACAGTATGAATTCCCTGGAATCTGGGAAAAGGTAAATTAGTTAACTGAGGTCCTCCCTCAGCAGCTCGGTCCCTCAACATTCTGAGAAATCAAGAAGGACTGCACCACTTCTTCAGTGGATTGGGGGCTGGTGTTGACATCTTCAAGAGCATCGGTCACCGAATACTGACGATCTCGCAACCGGTTCCAGTTAGACAGAACATTGTGATATTCAAACACTTTCTCATAATTTCCAATGGAGTTGTAAAGTTTAATGAGACCTCGGTAATCATATTCTAGTCCACTGTAGCCTTCACCAAACAGTTTCTTCCCTGAAAGTAAAACACACATACACACACGCACAAGGAAAAAAAAAAAAGAAAGCTCAAATAATGAAACAAGAGGTTCTTAAAAAATAACACAAGTTCAATTCTTTAAATAAGGTGGCTTTATTTTATTTCCTAGGCTAAATGAGAAACTAATGAGATTGGGTACCCACAGACAAGATAAATATTAGAATTAAGAACTTCTGTTCTTTGAAAGGCACCATTTAGAAACAAGGAGCAGAGTGAGTTATCTCTCTTACAACATATATAACAAAGGGCTTGCTGCATCCATAGTATATGAAGACCTTATATAAATCAATAAGGAATGACAGACAATTCAATATAAAAATAGGGAAGAATTTTTTTTTTTCTTAAGTAAACTCTACCCTTAAAATGGGGCTCAAACCCATGACCCTGAGATCAAGAGTCACATGCTCTACTGACAGAGCCAGCCAGGTGCCCCCAAAACAGGGAAAAATTTTAACAGGCACATTAGATGATGACTACAGTATGTTATTTTGTAATCTTATTTCCTGAAATAGAAACAATCCAAATGTTCTGAATGTCCATTAACAGTAGAATGGATAAATGATATACTAATCCAATAAAATATTATACAGCACTGGAAATTAATAAGCGATAGTGTTATGGAACAACACAGATGTATTTCACAATTCATGTTCACCAAAAGAAACCAGACACGTAAAAATATGCATTGCATGATTCCATTGGTAACATGTTCAAAAAGGGAGGTGGAGGGAGTAGTAACTACCCAACTAGTTTAGAATAACTCCTTTTGCCTATACTTGACACTCTGCCTCAACAGTCAGACTTCTTACTACTGGCTTCAACATCAATAAATCATCTTTAGCAAAATGTTTCAGATGATTTTTGGGTGGCTTCTGGATATCCTTAGCAGCTCTAAACTCATTTAACTCTTCGTAATTACACTTCCCTTACACAACATATAAGACATGTTGACATGTTGATACTATCAATTCACTAAATTTTAAAATAACATACCAATTGCTATGGATCGCAAATAAAGTTTCTCAGCATTTTCGTACTGATTCATGTCATAATTGTATAGAGAAGCCAGATGTCCTACTGAAAGGGCTACTTCATAATCTTCTTGACCAAGAAGTTGCTCTTTTATCTGAATTGCTTTGATATGCATTTCTTCAGCTTCCTGAAAAATAATTAAGCTGTTTTAGCCATTAGATTATACTCTCATATTAACAATTCTCAGCCAACGAGTAAGACTCTTCTAAATGCCAAGACATGGATGGCATAAGATAATCAGATCAGAGGACATACTACGTTAATCCAAAAGCTGCCTAGGGAAGATTACTGGTTTGGGAAGCCATGCACACAAGCTGATGACAGTGAGTGTCCTATGCCAAAAATGATGACAAAATCTGTCCTGGTAATAAAAAATTGTTAGAAGAAATTAACATCAAAACTTTCTAAAATGACAATTATTTCTTTGTTAACATGCTCCAAAATTTAAACCTTGTTAAGAAACTTCATACTATCGTATGTTCAGTTATATAGGTATACGCTTTATTTTTTGGAATTTTGACAATAAAACTCAGGTTAATTGAGGGATATGTAATGGATTTTCAAGTAAAAAAAAGAATGTCTTAGGCAGTGACTCTCATCCTTTCCTTACTATGACCCCAAAATGAACAACAAGAATTTATAACCCAGGGCGCCTGGGTGGCTCAGTTGGTTAAGCGACTGCCCTCGGCTCAGGTCATGATCCTGGAGTCCATGGATTGAGTCCCGCATCGGACTCCCTGCTCGGCAGGGAGTCTGCTTCTCTCTCTGACCGTCCCCCTTCTCGTGTGCTCTCTTTCTCAAATAAATAAAATCTTAAAAAAAAAAAAAAGAATTTATAACCCAAAATTTTAAAAGAGAATTCAGTAAATTTTTATCACCACAATTAATAATACTTGCAATATCTGACATTTCTTGCATACCTACCATGTGCCAGACATTATGCTAAGGGCTACACTTTTTTTTTTAAAGATTTTATTTCTTTATTTGAGAGAAAGAGAGAAAGAGAGCGACCATGAGCTGGGGGAGGGGCAGAGGGAGAAGCAGACTCCCCGCTCAGCAGGGAGCCCAAAGATCCCAGGACCCCAGATCCCAGGACCCTGGGATCAAGGTCTGAGCCAAAGGCAGATGCTTAACCGACTGCACCACCCAGGCGCCCCTGCTAAGGGCTACACTTAACATAACGAACACTATGTTGTTGTTGTTGTTTAAAGATTTATTTATTTTTAGAGAGACTGAGTGGGAGAGAGAGACTGTGAGTGTGTGCGCACATGTTGGGGGAGGGACAGAGGGAGATTACCTTCGAGCAGAATCCCCACTGAGGGGGGAGCCCAACTGGGGTTCGATCTCACAACCCATGAGATCATGACCTGAGCTGAAACCAAGAGTTGGAGGCTCAACTGACTGAGCCACCCAGGCGTCCCCCTTTCTTTTTTTTAAACTTTTTATTTATTTAAGTAATTTCTGCACCCAATGTGGGGCTTAACTCACAACCCTGAGATCAAGAGTCACATGCTCTTTTGACTGAGCCAGATAGGTGACCCGCTAATAGCTATGTTTTAAGTCTAACTATAATAACCGTATCAGCCTTTGTGGTTTGATATTATGTCTTATTTTTCCATGGTTTGGATTTTGAATTTTATTTTTATTTTGACTCTGTTGTTTCATACTAGCTATTTTCTCAATTCTTTCGTGGAATAAGGTAGGAGTATAATAAATGTACACTTTATTACTGAAGGTTACTGAAGATGTATTATTTTTTTTTTAAGATTTTGTTTATTTGACAGAGAGAGACACAGCGAGAGAGGGAACAGAAGCAGGGAGAGTGGGAGGGGGAGGGGGAGAAGCAGGCTTCCCGCAGAGCAGGGAGCCCAATTGGGGCTCGATCCCAGGACCGCGGGATCATTACCTGAGCCAAAGGCAGACACTTAATGACTGAGCCACCCAGGCGCCCCATGAAGATGTATTAAGATTATACTTTACTACCTAAAATTATTTAGTGAGAGAAAAAGATAGTAAAACATGCTTGTACCTTAAATTTTCTCATTGACTGGTAAAGTCTTCCAAGGTTTCCATAGTGTTTTGCAGTCTGTACATTAAATTCCCCAAAAGCTTTTTTAGCTAGTTGGAGTGAGGACAGGTGCAAATCATGAGCTTCTTGAAGCAGCCTCTGTTCAGTTTCTTTATTATGACAGTCGATTGCAATCTCCTCTAAAATAAGGGCTGATTAAGAAAGCAATAAAATTAGCATACTTCTAAACCATTTATCAAAGCTAATCAGAGCATATAATTTAAAATTAAATTCTATAAATGTTTGTGGTTATGGATTAGAACTGGTAAAGATGAATTCCACGATAATGAAAAAATATACTTCTGGGGGTCATTCTAGTTTGCATAGTATAATGAACTTCAAATTTAAGAAAAACAATGGTATACATCAAATATTTTGCAGAATTTCTGCTTTACTAGACTATTATATTTTGCTGATGTGAATTTCTTATTGAAAGCAATGTAAGACAACAAGGCAAAGGCAAAATTTTAAAGTTATGAAACTGTGTCAAGGAGTACCTAAGCACTGTTGAACATTTTGAAACCACACTATAAAATACAACCTTTAACCAAATACAACTAAAAGAACTGGTTTCCTCCTACTAACTTGACCAACCAAATCAGGCAAGAAGCGCAATTTCACAGTCACATACAAGACTTTCAAATTCCATTTAAAGTCTTAAAAATACATATTCTTTTACGAGGTAATTTTATTTCTAGGAAAACTGTCCATATGCACAAAAGTAAAAGAGGTTTAGTTTAGGTTTAGCGTTTTTAAAGAACAAAAGGATATATATCCATATGTACTGCAATGAAAAAATGTCCGTAAGGTATTAAGTGAAAAAAGCAGAATATAAAACTAAAAAAATTCATTCATTCCATTATTGGGAGAAAAAAAGCCAAAATGCTGAATCTGGATTGGTGGGATTTCAGGTGACTTAATTCATTATTTTCTCTTTTCTAACTTTTAATTTTTACAACAATTATGTATTACTTGTGTAACTTAAAATCCAAACCCAGAGGGGGGAAAAGAACCAGTTCAAGAATTAAGGTAAAATTTCTCCAGCATGCATGGAATTACCACATGGGTGACCCAGTGATGTTGGCAAAATAAATGCTTTTTAAATTAAAGGGCTTTGGTAGTGATTAGAAGAAAAGAAGAAAGTGGTATTTGGTAAGAGCCCTGCAACATTAAGGGTAACCTGATACAAAACTGAGTTTCAAAATCCTGCACTATAAAGCTGAAGGTACGTGAAAAACCTGTTACTGTGCAATAATCACGTTATTCTTTCTTTCATCCTCCCCTCAAAAGAAATGAATGAATGAAGGCATGACAGAGAGGAAAAGGGGGTGAGGGGAGGGAGGAAGGAAGGAAGAAAAAAAGCGACAAAAGATATTCTGGCTTATTAACAATGCTATATGAGAGAAGCGAACCTTTTATTATGAACCACTGGAAATTCTTAAGTAGAGTTATAGGCAGAGTCACTTTAAGTCACTTTAAGTCACTTTAAATCAGTGACTTGGCTATCTTAGTAATATGCAGATATAGTCTAATCCTATGCTACTACCCAAAGAAATAAACAAACAGCCCTATTTTAAACTATGTATCATTAAAATATATGAGACTAGACATCTAGTACAACTGACAGCAAAAGAAATCTAAAACACATATATATACAGGTATACTGGAGACTAATTGCAAAGGGTACCTTTCACCCTCTTTGAAGAAGCCAAAAGAAGATGATCTTCAGGTAGGATGTGGGTAATGATACCAATAGCTCTTTCGGCATGAAATCTGTAATATAGACAAATATATTCTGGCATTTCTTTTTAGTTATAAATAATTACAGCATTTTAAAAAAAACCTTACAACTTATAATACTGATGGAATTTCTAAACCTATCTGTGGTAAAGGTTATGTTTTCTGTTTTTTAAATTTCTAATCTGTTGTGGACTGAACTTTTAAAATATCCACTGGATTTCTATCTCCTACAGAATAAACTGTGAAGTTGTTATCACAGCCTACAAGGCTCACCATTTCTTTCCCCCGCCACCTGTCTGACCTCATCTACCATTCTCAGAAACAGCCCTCTCGGGGCGCCTCGGTGGCTCAGTCGTTAAGCATCTGCCTTCGGCTCAGGTCATGATCCGGGGGTCCTGGGATCGAGCCCCGCATCGGGCTCCCTGCTCCGCGGGAAGCCTGCTTCTCCCGCTCCCACTCCCCCTGCTTGTGTTCCCTCTCTTGCTGTCTTTCTGTCAAATAAATAATAAAATCTTTTAAAAAAAAAAGAAAAGAAACAGCCCTCTCCTTCTCCTCCAGCCACAGGCCTCGCAGTTTTCTGAACATGCAAAGCATACTCTCAACTAGGACTCTTGCACTTACTTTACTGTCTCTATGGGATACTATCCCCCCGAATATCCACCCACACGGCTCACTCTTCGATGAGAAGCCTTTCCAGACCAGCTTATACAAAAGTCCCTAAAGGGGGAGCCTGGGTTCAGCGACTGCCTTCGGCTCAGGTCATGATCCTGCAATCCCAGGATCAAGTACTGCATCAGGCTCCCTGCTCAGCAGGGAGTCTGCTTCTCCCTCTGACCATCCCCACTCTCATGCTTTCATTCTCTCTCAAATAAATAAATAAAATCTTAAAAAAAAAAAAGTCCCTAAAAAATTTACCACAGCTCTTTACTCTTAGTTTACCTTAATCTTCTTCACATCTACGTGTTCTCAGCTGCTATGTCTAGTTACTTGTTTATGGCCCATCTCACCAAACAGAAGGTAAGCTGCCTATTTTATCTACCAGTTTCTTTCAAGTAACTCCAAGTCTTCTATCTCCATCTGCCAGGTAATTATTAATTTTCTCAGATCTGTTTTCCAGTTCACTGTTTCTTTAGTTGTGTCCAATGTGCTATTTAACTTGTCTACTGAGTTTTAATGTAAATGACTATTTTCTAATTCTAGCTACATTTTATTTTTTATAACAGCTCTTACTGAGATATAATTCATACCACACAAGTCGCCCACAAAAATGTACAATTCAGTGGTTTTTAGTATATTCACAGAGTTGTGCACCCATCACCACCAGCAATTTCAGTGTATTTTCATGACCCTAGAAAGAAACACTGGCCCATTAGTAGTCTCTCACCATTTTCCTCCAACCCTATGAGCCCATGGCAACCACAAATTTATTTTCTGTCTCTCATACATTTGCCTATTCTGGACATCTCAAAAAAAAGGAATCATACAATATGGGGTCCTTTGTGACTAGCTTCTTTCAATTAGCAGAATGTTTTTAAGGTTCATCCAGGTTGTAGCATGTATCAGTTATTTTATTTTTAAATCTGCCCTTTACCCCCCTTTATTTTCCCTCCAAAATATTACTGATTCATTCTTTTACATCAGTGTCAGCAAATTTTTTCTGTAAAGGGCCAGATAGCAAATATTTTAGGTTGTGTGGGCCACACACTGTCTCAACTACTCAACTCTCCTGATGTAGCATGAAAGCAGCCATAAACAATACATGAGTGAATGAGTATTGCTATGTTCCAATAAAATTTTACTTTCCCTAGAGGCCACAGTTTGCTAACCCATTTTATATGCTTAATCATTTAAAGATACTTACTTTATAGTATCAACCAAGAAGTTCTGTTAGCCAATATTCTTTGGGTTCTAATCCTGTTTGTTATTTCTGCTGATGCTCATTCATAGAGGAAATGTTTCCTTACTTTATTTTGAAATTTTTTAATGGTGAGTTCATCTTAGGTAGAGCTAGATCTATGGGAAGTCTGTTTGGTTTCGGTTGAGAATTTCCAAGAGTTTTGCATTTTCTCCCAAAAGGCATCTCAGGAGAAACAGCAGTCCCAAAGAGCTTTTTAATGTTTTCCTCAGTTTGGGGATTCTTTTTTTTTAAAGATTTTATTTACTTGGCAGAGAGAGACACAGCGAGAGAGGGAACACAAGCAGGGGTAGGGGGAGTGGGAGAAGCAGGCTTCCCACTGAGCAGGGAGCCCGATGCGGGGCTCGATCCCAGGATCCTCGGACCATGACCTGAGCCAAAGGCAGACGCTTAATGGCTGAGCCACCCAGGTGCCCCTGAGGATTCTTGAATATATGATGCAATTATAAATTCCACTGTGAGGCTGTTTTTGGTTAACTGAGAGCCCAACCTGAGATGAATGAGTTTCCTTGTCCTCTTTCTTGCCAGTGGGAAATTTTTTGTTTTCCTCCTAGTCTTCCCTTTCCCTGACGGTGGAGGCTTGATCTTGACTTCAGGTGAGGGTTTCAGTTCTAACTCATAGTTTCCTGTGGACTAAACGCCTTATCTCATAAACCCAGGATTATTGTCCAACCAAGGTTTACACAAACTACTAAGCTTTCCCATCACCCTAGGGCAGTTATACCATATAGTTCATGCCTACCCTATTGGATTTTAGTCCATGAGTGGCCCTTGGGGTCTTTCTTTCTCTCCTGCGAGCTCATTTATGCATTTACAAAGACAACTGTTATATTTTACTCAGTATTTCTGCATATTTTGAGCAAAATGTTTTTAGGTTAAGTCTGTCATTTAGCCAGAGGCTACCATACTACCCAAAGAAAAATTACTGAAGTATTCAGAAGATAAGCCATATTCCTTACGAAGATATGTAACTCTCAATATTAAACTACATAACATCTAAATAAATGGCTTATAAATGGGTATGATTTTAAATGACTTCAAGAACAGTTTAGGCATCTTGTTAAAGCTCCAGAAGACAAATTTAATCTATCAATACATTAAATACTATTGCATTAGGAAAAACAATAGCAACACCATTTAATCGCTCACTGAAAAGGAACATGGAACTTACAGTGCATTGTCAAATTTCCCAGAGCTATACTGGTGAACATAAGAAGAATAAGCCAAGTCTTCATGAGCTGTCGCTACATGAATATTTTTGCCGCCAAACACTGACTGCCGAATGTCAAGGGCTGCCTGAAAGAGTCATGAAAATTATTATTACTATAAATCCTTAGAAAACACTACCAGTAATACTAAGCATCCTAGTAATTTAAATATATGTTCTACATATCAATACCATCAGTTTTGAAGCAAAAGTCCTGCTGTATTTAAATCACACAAGAACATAAAAGTCACCAAAAGGCCTGGTTTTCTGAAGACTGAATCTAACTTAAAAGACAATGGTTTCATAATAAAAATTATTCATATGTCTGAGAATCACAGCAGTGTTTCTCTATGTCCTTCTTTATAAGTGAACCATAAAATCAAGGATACCTTGTCCAGAGTGATGGTGTAACACATTTACCTAAGAATGACTAACAGGAGGCCTAAAATAATTGTTATCAACCCTCCTTGCTATTACAAAGAACAGCTATAATGACTCATGCTAAATCAACAATGAAGGTAAGTCATCCTCCGGGCAAATGAAAAATGGAAAATTACTCTTATATATGAGCCCACAAGCCAAAAATTCTTTTCCTCAATGGTTTTCTGTAATTCCTACAACATTTACTTCTAACCCTTCTACATGTTATTTAGTAAAAGAATGTTGTCCCATATACGAGGAGGGGCTCAGAAAGAATTGTTCTTAGAGAGTGGGTTATACACCGCCAAGAAATACAGGTCAGCAAGTCAATTCAGGTTGAAAGAAAAAAAGTGTAACTGTTAACATACCTGATAAATTGCAACAGACTGACAGATATTATCTACATTGAGTAAGTAGAACCCATAATCTAGCAGTGTATCAGAATATTTTGGGTGTTTGGATCCAAAATGATCCCTATAAAAAGATATAAAACTATTAGGATATAAAGTAGAGAGAGACAATTTGAAATGGTATTTTTAGTAACAATCACCTACCGTGCCAAATACACTGCATGTTTAATTAACTGTTCTGCTTTCTTAAATTCACGTTTTACAACACAAGCCTAAGGATAAAGTGAAAAATTATTAAGTAACTCTCAAACAGTTAATTAGTGTGCTAAACTAAGTACAGATTATATAGTCAGACTATGATTGTCAAAAAAAAAAATCCTCAAACATAAATATAAGGGTTCTATTTGCAATTTCTTCCCTTCCAAGTATTCGAAAATTCTATTATAAACAGATCTGTACATATCCTGGGAAATTATAAAGTTTAAAATCTTGACATTCATGCCCAATACAAACCTGTTATAACAAAGTTACCTTACAAAGCTGGTATACTCCCATCATTCCAGATTATATAATAAGCAAATGGGGGGAGGGTTCAACATAGCATTTTCTAAGCCACTTATTTATATCCTAGTTCTAGAGTGGTTTAAGTATCCTGTAGTCTTCATCTGTTAGTTTTAAAATGCACAGAATTCCAAGTTTTCCTATTCTTAAAATATTTTGATTCATGAAAATGGCCAGTAGTTTTCAAACTCTTAAATATTATCTGCATATAAATATACAAATCTTGCACATAAACTGTCTTTATATTAATGGTATATCCAATGTCTTAAATCAATTAAAAACATATTAACATCTCTCTTCTAGCTCTGATAATCTGAACAGTTATGCTATGTACTTGTCTAAAATAACTTATCTAGGAAGTTTCACAGAAATCTCACTCATAAATCTGTAATTTCAGAATCTTTCTTCTAATTAAAATTTCCATAATTAAAACCAACCAAAATGAAATATTCAAAATCAAAAAAACTCTGGGTAGAAAGAATATATTTGAAAAGCACATCAATGTTTTAAAGCCTCAGTACACCAAACCAGCAATTTAAAAATAAATGGCTTCAGAGAGTGAATGCATTTATCTATAGAAGAAGAAGAAACTAAAGGGAAAATCAAGTGTCACCCAGCAGCTCAAGAACAGGAATCTGTGACACCGTGAGGCTGCAATACTATCACTCAAAGATTTAATACTAGGCTAGCCCTTAGGAGGAAAATGACCAAAATCCATACAATTGTGGCATGAGGAATTGAGGTTGCTAGAAAGGTTAAGAAAAACAAAAGCAAACTCAAGCTAGAATAGCACCAAAATACTGCCTCAATCTGTAGTTCAGTAAGCTGAATAATCAAAATGATATTTTTCATGGGTTTTCTGGGTATAGAAAAATGAGCTCAATTCTATGTGTAGATTTCTAAATCTGATTTCTATAACTGAGCAGAGAAACTCAGAAAATAGACCTTGTCAGTCCATGGAGTATGCAATATCTAACTTGTTAAATAACAAGTTAATTAAGACAAATTTAAAGCTTGCTAAATCCTATAATACATTAATAATTTTAACATTATATTCACCTTAGAAGCTTGTCTTAAAACATCCACCACAACTTTGACTGGTAAGCCCACTGTGATTTCTTTCATTGCCTCGATGCACCATTTGTAAGCCTAAGAAAATATTTAAAGAGCAAAAACTGATAAATCAAATTGACAGTATTTAATGAAATGACTGTGTATCTTTCTCCCAAACTTTCAAGTACCTGAATAAGAATACACACGAAGTATTTACACTTACAATTTTCTGAGACTAAGTTTTCTTGAAAGTGTAAGTTTGTTATACTTTCTTTGAATAAGTGACACACAGGAAATCAGGAGCATGTTCTCTCTTGCCCACAAGCCTTTGCATATACTGTTCCCTCTGCCTTATATACATTCCTCTTTCCTGAACTAAATCCATATAACTTATTTTCCAGGTTTCAGCCCTAGATTAGGCTTCCTATACTTTCTTCCCCTACTGTAATGCTTATTATTTTGTATCTTAATTGCCTGTTTGAGTGCTTACTTTGTGAGAGTTATTGTTCTAAGCACTTTATGTGCATTAACACATTTAATTGACACACCAGTCCTATGAGATGCATACTATTATGGAAAACTGAGATGCAGAGAGGTTAGGTACCAGGTAATGTGCTAGCATCTAGGTATCTACTGGGAAATAAAACATAGTATGTGTCCTTCCACTCCTAGTGCTTAGTGGAAGAAAAAAAAAAAAGGAAAACAAATTACTTTGGATAGTAAGAACTATCTCAAAGAAATAAAACATAGGGGCGCCTGGGTGGCTCAGTCGGTTAAGCATCTGCCTTTGGTTTGGGTCATGATCCCAGGGTTCTGGCATCAAGCCCCGCATTGGGCTCCCCCTCAGTGGGGAGCCTGCTTCTCCCTCTCCCTCTCTGTGTCAAATAAATAAATAAATAAATAAATAAATCTTTAAAAAATACCATAAAAGAGTCATAAAGAATGGGGGAGGGGAAAGGAAAATTAGAAAATAAAAAACAAACATTTGTTTTCCTCTGCAAGCTTCCTTCTCTTCCATTCCACCTAAAATATTCAGAAGAAATTTTGATGTAAAAATGAAATGTATGTGATTTAGGCCAAAAAACCTGGTTTGTTTTTAAGATGTTAAATAAGCAGATTTTGTTCCAGAGTAGTAAGTTAAAATCTTTAGAACTGTAGTAAGACTGTAATACTTCTTTAAAGTATTTACTTCCTTGGGGAAGGATATACTTCCCTTCCACATCAAAGATGACAGTGGTCAAGTGATGTCCTTTGGTCAATTAAAAAATTAATTGAAATATGAAAGTGAAATGAGCAATTTCTGGGAAAAAGCTCTAAGAGCAAGCAGTACTTCCTCATGATGTTTTTGCCTCTACTCTAAGGTTGGTAATGTTTTAGATGGAGGATGCTGCATCATATGGGGTTTTGATCAAAGTGTAAACAGAATGTTAAGCAGAGCCACAGGCATCCCAAGACAGGATGTAGCATGAGTAAGAAATAAACTTATTTTTCCATGTCACTGCTATTTTGTCAGCATAGCCTAGGCCATGTTAATATCAAAATATGGTGATAATTCACCAAACTATATCCTCAATATTTGTGTACTTTTCTGTAGCTATCAATGACAAACTTATTTATATATATTTTTATTTATTTTTTTTTTTTAAGATTTTATTTATTTGACAGAGAGACACAGCGAGAGAGGGAACACAAGCAGGGGGAGTGGGAGAGGGAGAAGCAGGCTTCCCGCTGAGCAGGGAGCCCGAAATGGGGCTCGAACCCAGGCCCCTGGGATCATGACCTGAGCCGAAGGCAGATGCTTAACGACTGAGCCACCCAGGCGCCCCAATTTATATATATATTTTAAAAGATTTTACTTATTTGTCAGAGAGAGAGAGCACAAGCAGAGGGAGCAGCAGGCAGAGGGAGAAACAGGCTTCCGGCTCAGCAGCGAGCCCGATGCGGGGCTCAATCCCAGGACCCTGGGATCCTGACCTGAGCTGAAGGCAGATGCTTAACCAACTGAGCCACCCAGGCATCACTGAATCTTATCTATATTTAAAATAAACTATCTGGGGCACCCGGCTGGCTCAGTCGCTAGAGCATGTGACTCTTGATCTTGGGGTCATGAATTCAAGCCCCACACTGGGCACAGAGTTTACTTTAAAAAAAAAAAAAAAAAGGTGAGTTCTATGCATAGATATATAAAGATGGTGGGGTACCTGAGTAACTTTTAAGGTTGGCATTTCTAATAAACTGTTGTATATCGCACTTTCATTTCCAGTAAAGTCAGCTATCCACACAAAGGCCTTCTGTGAATGGGGTTCTTTGTTCTTGTGTGTGAAAATAAAAGAGGTTGAGTTCTGTATTTGGGTTGATAAGCTATGGAACAACCGCTGCACAGAAGGGGCAGCAAAACAATCCATCAACAGAGCTAATTCAGCAGACATAGGAATTCACCCTCAAAAATAACCAGAAGAACATACCTAACACCCCCCTAAGAAACTGTAGGCATGCTGATAAGGATTTTAGATTTTTATATATAGATTTGATGCCTTCTTACATGGATATTAAGGATGATCCTAGCATCAGGGTTGCACATCACTTTATAATCATTCTAGGATTTTCTAGTTTTACCTCTAATTATAATTTTCCTTTAAATAAGGAATATTAATGAGGCAAAAATCAAGACAGGGATAATTATAAAATATGAAAGCTAAATGACATCTATGTGGCAACATAAAATTATGATATTCTTCCATAAAGAAAACAACCAAGTAAAGGAGTTAAACAGACATAGTTCACTTCTCAACTATATATTCATTAGCACTGAAGCATGAAATTAATAGCATAAAGACAGGAGTGAAGCTATCTTTCTTGTAAGGCAGAAGCAGGAGCAAAACAATGCAAAAAAGTATAAATAAAATCTAGCTTCCCATTAATTCAGATATATATTTGGTCAAATTAAAAGAAAAAAAAAACAGGCCATAAACCATACATGTGTATGTTTAAAATACATCTCATGGTACACTTTTTTTGCCTCATTTTAAATATTCCATTACAAATGTGTAGTGCTTTAAGTAAACCTGACATGTGAGAATAAGATCTATTAAGACAAATAGAAGGGGGCGCCTGGGTGGCTCAGTTGGTTAAGCGTCTGCCTTCGGCTCAGGTCATGATCCCAGGGTCCTGCTCTGCGGGAAGCCTGCTTCTCCCTCTCCTACTCCCTCTGCTTGTGTTCCCTCTCTCGCTGTGTTTCTGTCAAATAAATAAAATCTTTAAAAAAAAAAAAAGACAAGTAGAAGATGTATAATTTCTTTTTTTATATTTTTTATTTATTTTTTTAAAGATTTTATTTATTTATTTGACAGAGAGAGACAGAGGGAGAGGGAACACAAGCAGGGGGAGTAGGAGAGGGAGAAGCAGGCTTCCCGGCGAGCAGGGAGCCCAATGCGGGGCTCGATCACAGCACCCCAGGATCATGATCTGATGCATAAGGCAGACACTTAACGACTGAGCCACCCAAGTGCCCCCCCTTTTTTAAACTGAGGTACAGTTGACGCACAATGTTATAGTAGTTTCAGGTGTAGAACAGAGTGATTAGACAATTTTATACATTATGCTATGCTCACCACAGTAAGTGTAGTTACCATCTGTCACCATACAACATAATTACAATATTATTGATCATATTCTCTATGTTGTACTTTTCATCACTATGACTTATTTTGTAACTGGACGCTTTGTACCTCTTAATAGCCTTTACCTACTTCATCCATCACTCCCTGCTCAGGTTGCTCTGTTTTTTTATGTTTGTTTTGATTTTATCCTCTTTATAGCTACTTGCTGATTACAATAAAATGCACTTCAAAATACTCACCTCATCATAGTGACTTTTTGCAAAGAGTAGTGCACACAGTTCTCCATACAGTGCAGCTTTGTTTGCTTGCTGGCCATGTTTTGAAAGTTTATCCATATATGTCTGAGCTAACTTAAATGTTTCTTCACCCAAGTGATATTTGCAGTTTCCATTTCGCACATGAAGCAACCTGCAAAAGCAGAAATAACATTCCTCTATTTCTGATATTTCCACCATGGTCCTCTTACAGATCACTACTTAGTACCCAAATGAGTTAAGGAAACTAGATGCAAAAAGGAAGGTAGCACTGGAAAATAATGGTCTGGCCCAAACCGAGACTGACTAAAACACATAAAGAGTATATGCTCTTTCCAGAAAACCACCCATGATTAATCTCACCCAACTCTGATCTTTTTCTTCTTTAAATATTTTGTATACTTTGTGCACTCAGTATGTGCTACATCTAATACTTAACTTTTTGTTCCAAATCCAAAAGTAATGCAGTCTCGTTATAAAAAAAATTTAGAAAACGATGAAAAAGGGCACCTGGGTGGCTCAGTCATTAAGCATCTGCCTTCAGCTCAGGTCATGATCCCAGGGTCCTGGGATCGAGTCCCACATCGGGCTCCCCGCTCAGCGGGAAGCCTGCTTCTCCCTCTCCCACTCCCCCTGCTTGTGTTCTCTCTCTTGCTATGTCTCTGTCAAATAAATAAAATCTTAAAAAAAAAAGATGAAAAAAATAAAATCAACACCAAATACTATTACCTACCATTACTTTCCATTCTTTTTTTCTAGTATATTTGTGCAACACCTGATCAGTAACCTCATCTCATGTTGCTTCATAAATGCTCATTTTTTGTTATCTTTCCAGTAAGGTAAGTTCACTGAAAATAGTAGTATTGTCACCTATTTCTTTTAAAACCTTTATCTTCTATGGTGGAAAAATAAAGAGTTTTTCATGCAGGGTAACTGTAAAACCATGTTAGACTATATAATGATATGCAAGAGTAGTAAAGTAAAACCACGTTAGACTAATGATATGCAAGAGTAGCAGGTCAGACTGTGATACCAACAGACTATATACATCTGCAGAGGCTATGTAAAACTGAACAGTGAGGACCGGACATGTATTTATGTATCTATTATAATGCTAGCTAGAACATTATGTGCATGTTATCATGTCAATACAATTTTCTGAAAATGCTCAGCCCTGAGGGGGAAAAGGGTATAAAAATCATTTAAAAGAAACCGAGTATGGAGAATCTGGGAAGCACTCTTTAGGAATATAAAAAACATATTTATTTTTTTTCTATCTACACCAAAACATTAACAGATCAATGACCCAGGATGAGAAACATCTAACAATCTTCAAATCACTATCATTTCTTTGTACAGTCAGGGAAAACAGATGGAATAACTTCAAATGAACCGAGACTATTCAATAAGTGGCAGATACAATGCCAGTGTGCCTCCTTCCAACACTCACAGTTATGTACTTTTAGAAAAGACTAAAACACCCTCAAGCAAAATAATATACTAAGGCTAACCAAAAATCCTGAATGGAGTATCTTTTACATTACCAAATTCCAAATTAAAGCAGAAATACATATAGTAATTTTCAGGCTACTCTAGAATGGTGAGTTGATTGGATTCCTATTTTTATGCAGAAATATAATAGAAAAAATGTTTTGGTATACAGAAAATTTTTCCTGCTAAAATAAGTGTACTGGTATAGAATAAAGAAAAAATGTCACTTGATGGTCGAATTGCTGATTTAATAACCAAGAAGTTTGCAATGATCTGTCACAATGGGAACCACGTGTAGGAAAATAGAACTGAAATCTAGGAAAAGATTACCTGAAAAAGAAATATGTAGTTCATATGATAAAGTTTTGAAAGACTCTTACAGTCAATTATTGACTGAACACCTATTATGTACCAGTCATTTTTCTAGGTGAAAGGGATGTAGTGGTAAATACCATAAGAAGCTTCACTCTAGGGGGAAGGAGTATGGGGGTAGGCAGACAAACACACCAATAAGTAAGACTTTCATTTAAAAGTAAATGCTATGGGGGCACCTGGGTGGCTCAGTAGGTTAAGCGGCTGCCTTCAGCTCAGGTCATGATCCCAGGGTCCTGGGATGGAGCCCCACATCGGGCTCCCTGCTCAGCAGGAGAGTCTGCTTCTCCCTCTGCCTCTGCCCCTACTCATGTTCTCTCTCTCGCTCTCAGATAAATAAAATCTTTAAAAATAAATAAATAAAAATCAATGCTATGTATATCATAAAAATAAGGTAATATGACTAGGAGCTGCTTCTTTTTTTTTTTAAAAGATTTTATTTCTTAAGTAAATTCAAACTCACAACCCTGAGATCAAGTGTTGCATGCTCTACTGACTGAGCCAGCCAGACGCCCCATGATCAGGAACTCCTTTTCTTTTTTTTTAAAAGATTTTATTTATTTATTTGAGAGAATGAGAGAGAGAGAGAGAGTTCGAGAAGGGGGAGGGTCAGAGGGAGCAGCAGATTCCCTGCTGAGCAGGGAGCCCAGTGTGGGACTCGATCCTGGGACTCTGGGACCATGACCTGAACTGAACCTGAGTCACTTAACCAACTGAGCCACCCACGTGCCCCAGGAACAACTTCTTCTTCTTTTTTTTAAGATTTTATTTATTTATTTGACAGAAACACAGCGAGAGAGAGAACACAAGCAGGGGAAGCGGGAGGGAGAAGCAGGAGCCTGACATGGGGCCTGATCCTAGGACTCCAGGATCATGACCTGAGCCAAAGGCAGACGCTTAACTGAGCCACCCAGGCGCCCCGGACTTCTTTTTAAAGATTTATCCATTTATTTGAGAGAGACAGACAGAGAGAGAGAGAGACCGTGAGCATGTGTGCTCACGAGCAGCAAGAAGGAGCAGAGGGAAAGAAACTCAAACAGACTCCATGCTCAGCATGGAGCCCAACGTGGGGCTTGATCCCACCACCCGAGATAGCAAGCTGAGCTGAAATCAAGAGTTGGATGTCCAACCAACTAAGCCACCCAGGTGCCCCAATGATCAGGAACTTCTTTAAAAAAAAAAAAAATTTATTTGAGAGAGAGTGCGAACTAGCCAGGTACCCCTAGCAGGAACTTCTTAAAGGAGGTTCTCAGGGTAGACAGGAAAGAATTCTCTTGACAAGTTAACATTTTAGTTGACACCTAAATGATGAAGAAGCAATCACGTAAGGTATGGGAGGAAGCATGTTTCAAACAGAGGGAATAACTGGGGTGCCTGGGTGGCTCAGTCAGTTGAGTGTTGGACTCTTGATTTCAGCTCAAGTTATGAGATTAAGCCCCCTGTGGGGCTCCAAGCTCAGAGGGGAGTCTGCTTGGGGTTCTCTCTCTCCCTCTCCGTCTGTCCCCCTTTCTCTAAAATAAATAAACCTTAAAAAAAATTTCCTTCAAACAGAAGGAATAACAAGTGCAAAGCCCCGAGAAAAGGAAAAAAAAAATTCTGGCATAATCAAAGAACAGACAAAAGACCAACCTGTCTGAGGTATTATGAATAAAGGATTATATAAAAAGAGATGAAAAAGCAGAGATTGGGGGCACCTGGGTAGTTCAGTCAGTTAGGCGTCTGCCTTCAGCTCAGGTCATGATCTCTGGGTCTTGGGACAGAGCCACATGTCGGGCTTCCTGCTCAGCGAGGAGCCTGCTTCTCCCTCTCCCTCTGCCGCTCCCCCTGCTTGTGCTCTCTAATAAATAAATAAAATCTTAAAAAAAAAACACAGAGATTAGGAAGATTTTATAGGGCCTTGCCAGTCTGGGCAAGAAATTTTAGTTGTAATAGTGAGGTATGATTTATCCCCTACAACAACGCTAACAGAATTTTCTAAAATGTTCTGGATCTGCTCTGCTCAATCTGGTAGCCACTAGTCACAACTGGCTACTGAGTATCTCAGATGTGGCTAGTGTGACTGAGGACTGTTTTAACTTTATAGTCATATATGGTTGATGGCTACCATACTGGACAGTGGAACTCTAGAAGGACTGCTCTGGCTACACTGTGGAAAATGGATTATAGGGGCACCTGGGTGGCTCAGTTGGTTAAGCAGCTGCCTTCAGCTCAGGTCATGATCCCAGGGTCCAGGGATCAAGTCCCACATCAGGCTCCCTGCTCAGCAAGGAGCTTGATTCTCCCTCTGCCCCTCCCCCTCCTCGTGCTCTCTTTCTCTCTCACTGGCTCTCTCTCAAATAAAAATCTTAAAAAAAAAAGAAAAGAAAAGAAAGAAAATGGATTACAATAAAGCCAAGAGTGGAAGCAAGGCAATCAGGACAGAGGTATTACAATAATCCAGAAGAAAAAAAGACCTTGAGAAAAAAGGAGAGGTATTACAGATACAGAGTTGATAGTTACCCAACTGGTTCAATAGGAAAAGGTTAAACTCAAGCATAGGTTGTAAATTCACAGAATGAAAAGAACAGTAGTCACCTCTCATTTCTACAATACTAAGAATTGCATTTCCAACAACATTCACTGTAGATATTCCTCCTAAAAATAAATTCAATAATTGGCATATAACGGGATAGCAAACTAAGTATTTTAAGCCAGAAAAGCACAGCTTGTTCTTTTCTCCAGCCGTGATGGCTGTCTATTGAAACAAAAGGGCAAATTAAACATATGGAGACTCTTCGGGGTCTGTATATCCATCTGGGCTGACACAGAGCAGGATGAAGGATCCAAGACACTTTTGGTCCAACTGAGGATCTAATTTTGTGTTAATACTCAGCCTAATGAAAAGGCAAGTTCCCAAGGTTCTCCAAATGTGGTTCTCCAATGTAAGCACAGTATTTTATTATTTTTAAAGAAGATTAAAAAAAATTTTTTTTTAAGATTTTATCTGTTTGAGAGAGACTGAGAGTGAGCATGAGAGAGGAGAGGGTCAGAGGGTGAAGCAGACTCCCTGCCAAGCAGGGAGCCCAATGTGGGACCTGATCCCGGGACTTGAGGATCATGACCTGAGCCGAAGGCAGTTGTTTAACCACTGAGCCACCCAGGCGCCCCCAAAAAGATTTTATTTTTAAGAGCAGTTTTAGGGGCGCCTGGGTGCTCAGTCAGTTAAGTATCTGACTTTGGCTCAGGTCATGATCCCAGGATCCTGGGATCGAGCCCTGTGTGGGGCTCCCCACTCAGCAGGGAGTCTGCTTG